GCGAACGCGCGTCAAGGCCATGTGACTCGACCGCGGCGACTTGCCCCCTCTGGTTCAAGTCGACGATGACTCCCCGCTCGAATGTCTGCCCCCGTGCCGGGCGGGCCGCGACTCCAAACGCTGGCGCCAAGAGGAACGCCGCCGCTTCACTTCCATGCGCGGATGCGGGCGTTCCTTGTCCACGAACCTATATTTTTCTGCAGTGTCGCGGTATTCGGATTCCTTCCTCGTCAAGGCCTTCATCGAAACGAACCAATCTCACTTTCGGCGTCTTCTGCAAAATGGCATCACCGCCGCGCGAGACGCGCGCGGACCCTTTGTCGCCATCACACCCCCACGAGCGCATGGTCCCAACCCGTCCACGAAGAAGGTATTTGTCCTCGCTGCGGTCGGTGTGATTTGTGAGGGCCACGGGCATGCCTTCCGCGATCGGTAAGAACCCACGCAGGTCCCCGCTCTCCTTGTCGTGACGCCGCAGCCAGGCCATCTTCTGTAGTGGTAGATCAAGCCTTTCTCGGAGCGCGTCCGGCGCGGGAATATCGCGCGCGGGCACGTAAACCATGGGCTTCTCTCGTGCACTCGGGCATGCCGCGCCGCTCGTAGCCACGTACTTGACGTCGCGGTTCGGGGATGCTCTGGGCGCGCACCGAAACTTCGCCGTCTGCGCCAGCGGGTCGTCTGGCCCGTCGATGATGAGGCGGCGTCATTCGAGCTCTTGTTTGAATTCCCGACGCTCCTGCATTGGCATGTCCCGCGGCGTCACAGCTCGACGACGACGCGCACCTACTGCTGTCCCCATGCGATCCCCCTCCGCCGTCGCCCAGAGCTCTGCATCTCGCACTTCCGCATGTAACCTGAGCGTGGAGCCAACTCCCCGGGGCGCGCGCACCCCGCCCGCGCAGGCGCGCGCGCGCATCCTCCGTCAGCGCTCCTGCGCGGAAGTCCCCCTGCACAGATTCAGCCAGGCGTCGTCGCAGCGCTCGCGCCCCTCCAGCTCCGTCACTCCCCGCGCGCCCCCCCGACGACCCCCCGCAAAAGCGCTTGCCCATGTAGCGCTGGCGGGGGCGACGTGCACTCCCGAGCCTCCGCAATGCGCTCCGCGCGGGCACGTCTACAAAGACGCCTCTGCCCGGCGGCGACTGCTGCCGGAGATCCCCGCTCGGCGCGGCGCTCAAACCGCCGAGCGATCGCGGTGCTCTATCACGCCCGCGCCTCCGAGCGTCAACGTTCCGAATGACGCAGGGGAGCTCCTGGTCCACCTCGGCGCCCGCCCGTCGGGCGCCAGCCGCTGATCTCGTCGATGGACGGCCGCCTCAACTGCGGCGCCCGCCTCGCCGCATCGCGCTGAAGTTTGACACGCCCCCCCTTCTCGTCGCCGCGCCTGACGGCGGGAATGCCGCAGGCGCGATGCACGGTGCCCCCGCCGAGCAGCTGCGACATGACATCAGGGAAGGCCGCGATCCGAAAACGCACGCCCATCGCCCATTTCATCAAATCTTCGAACAACCCATCCGCAGAATGCGCAGCACGTGCGATTTCCCGGCACCAGGCCCTCCATGCATGCACCGCCGCAGCGGTTCGCCCAATGCCCGCGCCCGCTCGTGCCTCCCCGTCCAGCTCTTGCATCGCTCTTTCCGCAACCTGCTGCGCCATGTCGCACTGCCGAGCATTGCGCCGGCCTGTGTCTCTGTCTTCCCTGAATTCCAAATTTCTGAGCCACTTCGCCACCTGGCCCGATGCCGCCCATGCATGCGACTTTGCCCCCCCCTTAGCTTCTTCCGTCGCCACCCTGCCAGCAATTTACTTCTCCTCATTTCTCGACGCCCTCGCCGCGGCCCCCGCGCCTTCCAGGTCGCAGCTCGCAGCTGTCGGCCACGCAATACGCGCGTCACTGAGCGGCATTTCGCCCGGGCGCCGACTCCTGGCGCACCGCGCCGCGGACGCGCCTGCTTTCGAGTTCCCGCAGTAGGAACACCTCGCCAGACCCCCTCCGCCAGGCCGCGCTCTTCACCACCACTGATATCTCAGTCGCCGCCTCCCCGCTTCCGGCCGCCGACGCGCGATTTCAGAGCCTCGCCCAACAGGTCGAACCCAACCTTCAATTCTTCGTCGCCTCGCCCAACTGGTCGAACCCAACCCTCAATTCTTCGTCGCTCACGCCCCCATCGCTCCGCGCACCCCCATGGTCCACATCCCCTGGGCGCGCCCGATACGTGCTCGGGAAGTTGCCCGCGCGCGCACCGCGCGGCTTATTCCGTTTTCGCTCCGCTGTCTAGCCACGACACCAAGGCGGCCTCCCATGCCTCCCCGCCCCCCCGCAGCGCCCCCGCGAAAACCGCGCGGTCGGCTGTCTGTCTGTCGCAGCAACCACGGGCGGAAGCACGACAGAACAACGCGCGCGGGCCGCCAGGGCGGAGACGGGAGTGCCCGTCTCGATCTGCGCCCGCTGCGGGGCGAGAAGGGGATCGCGTCGCGAAGCTCCGCAGGTCGCGCAGCGGGATCCCTGGGCGAGCGGCCCCACCCTCGAACGGCCGAGGAGCGTCGCGACGAGGCGCCTGGGCCTCCCGCGGGGGGTCCGCTAAAGGCAGCACGGGGGCTCGGCAGCCTGAGCCGCCATCATCGCGCGCATCTCTGCCGCGACCTCCGCTCCGGCCACGGGAGCGCCGGCCGTCGCCCGCGGGCGCGAAAGCTCGGCCGGGAGCTCGCAGCTGCGCGGCAGGGGCCGGGGAGGCAGCGGGCCCTGCGCGAGCCCCAGGGCGCCGCGGAGGCGGGGCCGCCACGGGAGCCGCAGGCTCGCGGTGGGCGTCGCCTGCCCCCCCCCCCCGAATCGGAGATGGGCCCGATCTCCTCGACTCCCTCCGATCCCGCGTGGTAAAGTGTCGCTCGCTCGGCCCCTGCCAGGTCCTCCTCGCCGTCGGCGGGGGAGGCACTGTGGAGGGTGGCGAACTGCTCGCGGAGCAGCCTGACCATGGACGGACGCGGCCAGCACGCTCGACCCTGGGCCGTCGCAGACGGGACGAGATCGGCTGGCAAAGCCGCGGGCAGCGGCGACAAGGACTCGAGCTCCAACTCGTTGATGTCTGCCTCGGCCACAAGGACGGGAGCCGCGGTGGACAGCGCGCGCGAAGCCGCCCGAGGAGAGACACGTCCAGCACCATCTACGGGCCCAGCAGCCCAAAGAGACCTTTTGCCTCCGCGGCCGCCAAGTCACCAGCCGAGCGGAAAGACGACGGAAGGGCAAGCAGCGCGCCACCGTCTCGCTGCGCAAGCGGCATCCATGTGGCGCGGCCCGCCGCAGACGGCGTTTCGAAGGGGTGCAGCTCGGGCCACGCGGCGCCCGCTGCATCAGCGGGCCGCGGGCCGAAGGGGGGTGTCCACTGGACCGAAACACTGCAGAGACCGCATGGGGGAGGTCGCAGAGAATTTGAGGAGCAGGAGGAGGAGCAGGAGGAGTGGGAGGAGAAGGGAAAGGGGAAGGAGAAGGAAAGGGAGTGGAGTGGACTGGAGCGGAGTGGAGCGGAGTAGAGTGGAGCGGGAGTGGGAGTGGAGTGGTCACAGCTGCGACACCGACGACTTGTGCCTGGAGACCCTCGAGAGTTGACTCGATTGCTCGGCTCGACTCAGGACCTTAAGGTCAAAATACTTCCCTGCATTAGTCACTTATGAAGGAACGCCAAGCCTTACCGGCCATTGCCCCACACTCCGAGCAGAACCAGACCTGAAGGGTCGGATGAACATTCGGGGCGTGCGAAGTGTGGACCCAACCCCCGCGATATGGATTCGAGCCCCCTTGGAAGCCGAGAAAATTACCACATCAACATCATGAAGCTTTGGACAATCAGACTGAAAGCATGACTTCAACGCGGCTGTTTACCGATGGCGAGGCCAAGCGGCAAAGGAGGCCGATGGCGAAGGCAGCTTTCCGGCAGTGCGACGGGGCGGCGCGGAGTGAAGGGGAACTGGGACACACAAATAAATACACACAAATAAAATTGTTTCCCATGATTTTCCCATATTTTCTGGGTTTTTGTCTTCCAGCCCACTTCCCATATTTTCCCATATTTTCCGGGGAATCGACGATTAATTGTGTCTGTGTGTTTTTTCCCCTCCTGACGGAGGCAGGAGGCGCGGCGACGGCCCCACGGCGGCGGGCGCGGCACTGCTGGGGCCACAGGAGGAGGAAGCAGGGCGGGGCCGCAGCGCCGACCCGCAGGCCCCGAGCGACGAAAGAGGTAATTAGAGGGGTGCACCAAAGGGGGGCACCCGCGGAGGGTGGACCACGTCCGCACCATCCGCCGGCCCCGGCATCGCCACCCGTCCCTGGTGCGAGGGGGGGGTCAGCGACGTGGGCCGCAGCCGAGAGAGGGGTGGGGAGGGTCACACACCCACAAACAGACACACACACACACACACCTGCTCACAGCCGCACACACTCACACACACACACACACACACACACACACACACACACACACACACACACACACACACACACACACACACACACACACACACGCACACACGCACACGCACACGCACACGCGCACGCGCACGCGCACGCGCACATACGCACGCACGCACGCACGCACGCACGCACGCACGCACGCACGCACGCACGCACGCACGCACGCACGCACGCACGCACGCACGCACGCACGCACGCACGCACGCACGCACGCACGCACGCACGCACACACGCACACACACACACACACACACACACGCGCGCGCACACACACACACGCGCTTACATGGCCTCTCCTTCGGCAGCGTCCTGAGAGGACGGGGTGCGGTGCATCCCCTGCGTTCGGCCCTAGAGGGAAGGGGAGCTGCGGGCGGGAATGGGAAGGGGGGAGGGGGGAGGGGGCAGAGGACTGTTTCGATTTCGAGGGCCGAGAAATGGGGCAAAAGCACGAGTGCCCAGACGCTCTTTTACACGAGCAGCCATCCTGCTCTGGCTGGAGGACAGAGGCACCCCTTTGAAGCTGAGAGGCGCTGATTCAAACGGTCTTTGCTGAGCACCACTGACTCACCAGGCGCGGCGGCCGCGAACTGCACCTCAGCTCAGCGGGCGACGCCCCGAGGAGGTCGGCGGCTGGAGCGGCCGCCTCAGTCCGCGAGCTTGCCCTTCTCAAAGACCTCGGCGGGAGCGCAGAGCTGCCAGGAGGCCTGCCCCCCCGACTCCAGCGAGGCCTCCCCGAGATGGAGGGGCGACGCCCGGGAGGCAAGCTCCGCGAGAAAACTGGGGGTTCCACAGATGGGGGATGGACAGACCCCCCTTTAGTAAAACGTGGTTTAGTGAAAAAACAACCTGAGGCCCAAACCTGGCGGGCGCAAGCTTGGAAAATAACGGCCACGGCGCCACCTCGAGAACCGAAAACGGACAATTCACTGATCGACGTGTCACTGTTGGGGGTTCTGTCCACCCCCGAACAGATGGGGGGGGGGGTCAAGAAAACACGCGCCCCCTTCCCACTGCCCCGTCCCCCCCCCCATCCTCGCGGCGCACACGCCCGCGCCCCTGCGATCTGAGCAGTCCACGGTGCCCTGGTCGATGCCGTACTTCTTGATGACCTCGCGGGTGCTCGGGCACACCGTGAGAAAGTAGAAGGCACATGGCGCGCCGGAGAGCACGTGTTCGAGGGCCGCCCCTCATGGCAACGTGACGGTTCGCGCTCACGAGGGCCTCCAGCTAGACCTCCAGGGACCTCCAGGGGGACCTCCAGGGGGACCTCCAGGGACTTTCAGGGGACCTCCGGGGACCTCCACGGGATATCAACGGGACCTTCCAAGGCCTCCAGAGGCCTCCAGACGACGTCGGTTGTCGTCGTCGTCGTCGTCGGTCGGTCCGTCGGTGGGTCGGCAGGTCGGTCGGTCGGTCGGTCGTCGGTCGTCGGTAGTTGATCGTCCATCGTCGCTGGTCGTCCGCCGTCGGTCGTCCGCCGTCCGTCGTCCGTCGTCGTCATACCCGTCCCGAGCCGCTCTCCAACGCAGCGGTCGCAGATCGCGGCGAGACTGGGCCCCTCCCCCCCGCCCCCCTGGTAACGCCCGTGATCGCTGACGGAAACAAAACTGCATCCCAGCGTGCGCGATCGAACGTCCCCGTTCTAAGATCAGGAATCCTCCACCGTTTTTGGTGGCTGTCGCGCGCTCGCCAAAAACTCTGGGATTCCACGGACAGCTGGAGCGAGACGGGGAGGAGACTGAGAGACCTAGAGAAGGAGAGAGGGAGAGAGACTTACAAAAAGTGTTGTGGACGCGGTTGTTGGCCTCTGGTGTCTCAAGGCTCGACCCGACGGAAGGATCAGACCCATCGCGTCCCTCTCCCTCCACGTCATCTTCCTCTTTCACAACTTCCGCTGTCTTAGGGCATTCAAGCGCGCTTCCCAGCAATGGACTCCCCACGTCAACTTCAGGTGCCATCAGAGGAGAAGGTGATCACCCGATCATCCGTCACGAGTCGTCTTCGCCGGCGGTCACCTTCACCCGGCAGTCTTCGCCAGCGATCGTCTGAACTGGCGGCCGTCTTCGAAAGCGGTCGCGTTCGCTGGGATCGTCTGCGTCAACGGTCGTCTTCGCCGGCGGTCGTTTTCGACGGCGGGCGAACACGACCGTGCAAAGACGGCCACGGGCGAAGAAGACCAGGTAAAGAAAACCTGGCGAAGACGACGGCGCGCAGATCGAGTCCGAATCTGAAACGAATCTACTGCTGGAGCCGCCTTTGCCCCTGCAGGCCTTGCGGTCGTGCAGCATGTCGAACTCCTCTGTTGCGTCCTTGCCGGCGAAGAGCATGATGGCCTCAACCGGGACCGCCAGTCGAGGAGGGCAGACCAGGGTGAATCATCGGCCACTCGGAGGGATGCCACCTCAGAGAGGAAGGCCGCCCTCTGCCCCCCTCGAGGTATGACTTTTAGTCTTTCCTCTGAGAGTCGGGGTAAGATGACAAAGGAATTAAGATCTCATGTTCACTCTGCTCAGGGAGAGCGGAGGCGGGATGAGGCATTGATAAGACAAGTATCCGTCAAGCAAGACTACTCTATCAGGAATGCGAAGGGAGGAGGCCGGCCGAGGACGGACGACGACGAGCCGCCCGCGCACCCCAGCGCGCTCCTTTTCTCTCCTGCCAGCCGAGGTCGGCTGGCTCGAGCAGTCGTATGGCTGCGGAAACGCAGCTTCAGTTCACGCGGACAGTGCAACGTATGCAAACTAAGTTAAGTTCGAATTGAATATGAGGCGGAGAGGAGCATATTTACTCCCCCCGCGGCGGGCCGCGCAGAGCCCATCCAGCCATAGCACCCCCGGCCTGTACATGTGCACAACCACCGGAGCCAACCCGAAAAAAGCTTTTACGGCTCAGCGGTGGCTGGGTCCGCGCCCAACAAGCTTAGCGCGTGGGTAAAGTGTTTTGCGCGCGCCCACCGCGGGACGGAGTCACGCGGGCCGCGCTCAGTTGAGGTCCTCGAACCGATTGTGATGGTTCTATAAGTATTGATCAGGCGGCGTGGGACGAGGCGGGTTTGATGGCGCCGATCCTCTCATCTGTACGTCTACGCCACGAGGCGTCCGAGACCGCCCTCTTTCTCTGTCAGTATTACCAGCCAGCGCCGTCTCTCTCGGCGGGAAATGTTGGTCATGCTCCCATTTTGATAGCCAGGTCCAGTAATCCAGATTGTGCCACTGATCGTCGGTAAGCCACGTGATCCTGTTCCGGTGGATGTGGTACCCTACAACAATTCCGTTCACGTAGCACGGGTAGGACTTGTCGCGGTTGCATTCGTAGCCGTATCCTGCGACACTGCTGGCAGCATCCGAGGCAGCGCCTGCGGCAGCGCCCATCGCCGCGGACGGCGCCAGGCCGGCGGCAGCATCAGCAGCCGCGTCTGAGGCATCATCCATGGCTGCATCGCGCGCGCGTCGCAATTCCGACCGATCCCTCGTGTTGGGATTTTGTAAGTTAGCCTCTCTGGTCGTCACGGCTGAGCCGGCGGCAGAACGTGGGGAACCAGTAGCTTCCTCAGACGCCTGAGCATCTGAGATGCCAGGTCGAAGAGACGGCGTGCGAGACATAGGTCTTGCCTTTGGTCCAGCGGGCGCACGTGGCCCCACGATCTCGGCTTCGCCGTCGTGCTCAGGATCATTATTCCTACCGTTCATAGATTGTATTATACTTCTGGCAGCAGCTGCTGCAGCGACACCATATAATCCGCATGCAGTGCGGAAAGGACCACCTTCTTTGTCCTGGAGATCGGTACCGGGGTCAGGATACTTATCCTGTAGCCAAGTTATGGCATCCTGTATTAGAGCACCGTGGCAACGGACGTCATTCTGTACTTTCCTGCCCATCTTGTGGGCCCATCTTTCTATAATGTCGTCTGTCTTAACAGCCGCACGAATGCGGCAGTCCAAGGCATATTCGTCGGTCCGTTTCTTTGATTAATTCCATCCGTGCTCACCATTTCGGGGCGAATGATTCGCCCCGGGTAACCAACAAAGTGACTTTCCGATATGAAATAGCTGATTATCTCACGAACAATTGCGAAAATCCTCATGGGCCGAAGGCCCAGTTCCATGTGTTGTGCTGGTACTAACCAATTGTCATCCACTATGGTCTTGATGATCTCCGGGATCACGTAGTCTGCCGTTCCGGTCAGGGTAACCCTGCCGGGTGTAGTAGGGTTAAATTCCGCGCGTTCAATTATGTAATGGGCAGCATCCTCTCGAACTCCATCTCCGAACAATGTTATTTTGATTGAAGGATCATCATGGTGATTGTATACGTGCCCCTCAGAATGGTCGAGAGTAAAATGCCCATCAGTTATCAACGCGGCCTTAGGCCCGCTGAGCACTTTGAGATCCAGATCCATTTGTGACTGTTCGCGCGCCCTCGCGGCTGAGCCGGCGGCATGTCGCAGCGCGGGGATAATGAGAATATGGTCCCGACACATGCCAATCCGTCTTGAAACGGACTGAGAACTGCGAGTCGGCCTCGCTCTGACATTGTTATCCCAGGCGACCGGTATCCTCGCAGGAGGGTGGGCGTTGTCGGCGTTGTTTCCATTATCCTCAGGCAACTCGCCGAACCAAGATCTGTCAAACTGTTGAACCATCGTACCCAGCCGATCCGAGGAGTGATTAAGTCATCCGGTTCATCAGGCCAGTGAAATGCCTGTAGGGCTGGGCAGGATCTGGGGCGAGCGTACTGGTCAAAATCAGTCGCCCACAATTTCGGCCACCATTTGTTAATGAGCGGGGTTTGCCTCCGTACATCTCTGGCCGAGTGTTCTAGCCACCATATAAACCTCCTGACCAAAGGCCTTAAGTATTGGAAGAAAGGAGCATGTCGCGCCGGAGGCTGAGCCTCGGCGTTTTCTGGGACCCCAAGCCGGAAATTTTCCCTGCTGGCTGTTGCCGAATATTGTGCCAGCAGCCGCCATTGTGGCAAAATTGGATGCCCATTTTCGCTCCTGCTGATTGTTGTTGGCGACGTTTCTCGCGTCGTTAGCAGAAGCTCTCCCTTGTCTCTTTATCCGCGCATCCATGTACTCATGACGACTCCATGACAGAGTTGCTTCCTCATCCACTATTATCCAAATGCCATGTGCCTCAAGGGACTGCGGGATAGTTTTGTACCTCCATGTCTGGGTCATGTAATCGTGTAAAACCTTGTATTTATATCTGATTGGGCAATTGCAGACGGGACACTTGGCAAAACCTGTCCTCACCCAGTGGTAACGGAAACAAAGAAATCTCCCATCGTCATCCCACGGGGTAGATATCATTCGATCTTGAATCGCGGTTTCCAACCTTGTCTCGTGGTCCCAATTAATAATCAATCCCTCGTCTGTATTAACCCAGGCAATCATCGACGCGCTGTCGAAAGTGACCTCGTGCGAAGACAATTCGCGGTCAAAGAGCACCATCCAGCGCATCTGATTCGCCTGTCTCACGAGGGAGACGGCTTTGTCGATGTCCGTGAATTTCGGCACCTCCCGGGACGCCAATGTCCCGTCTGGGCATACTCTGCACGAGAAGCGGGTGAGCACTCTGCCAGTGAAAACAAGGATAATATCCCATTGCTCATGATGCTTGAGATTGGGGAGACATGGCCAGAGGTAGCGCATGTCATTCACGCGCAAGGTACCCACCTTTGGCGGCTCCCCATTCCGAGCCTGGTTGGCCATAGGTACTACAGTTTTTATGGTGGGTGGTTGTCCATATCTCCTTTGGCTTAGCCACGGAGGAAAGTCCGAGGGGTCAGGCATAGTTGGGCGGTTGTGCGCCAGAAGCAAACGCAATAAATCGTAATCTGCGGCATAACAAAGCCCAGAGCTGCCCTTCGGAAACCGAACATGTCCACTCGTAGACTCCAAAAATGTCTGCAAGCTCGTAATATGTAGAAGAGATCCATGACTCCTGACTTGGCCAGGGTCGCACGGGACATACATTCTCTCAATCGAAGCAGTGAACGTTGAATATCCCTGGCATGCCCTATAGAATATCGGTACGGGCATATTTCCTCCATCGTTCTCTTGCAGAGATCTTTTATTGTGTTTTTTCCCACAGAGCGTGGATTAGTGCTCCAACAATCTTGGGGCTGTCTTTGGGGGAAATTCCCAAAACATCGATCGCCCCTGCCGGCAACACAGCTAAGCTCTGTGCAGCCAAGGCGTACGTTTGGAAAGTAAAACCGTCATCATATAGTTTCTGCACCAGGTCTCCAAAGTAGACCCAGCCCCCTGACGATCTAGCATAGTCCGAGCAATGCCTCGCGATGTATACAGCACATTGGCCTATCGTTTTGGCCAAATCATCCGCTCGGAAACTTAGGCCACCCCAGGTGTCCGAATTGCCTAAGGCAGCCGGGTTTTCATCGTCATCTTCTCCAACTATAAGTGGCCGCAGGCACGCGTAGGCGCCCGGAGAAAACCCGTCCAGACCGTCATCGGAATGAAACTCGGCTCTCATATAATTCTTTGCTTGTGCGAAAGATCCGTCGTCCTGATTGAGACATGCCAATGTTGCAAAGATGGGATCTTCCACAAATTCTGCCATAACTTTGCTCACGGATGGCTTCGATGTCCGGTGGCACAGGGCCCGTGATATGGGCGTCCTGGAGCATTTGTTTTAGAGGGCCAGGCGTAGCCTGGAGTATGCGATGGCGTTCTTCTGTTGTCACATACACGCGTTTCTCTTTAAGCACAGCAGCGTGCCCCACTGTTACTTCTCGGTCCCCGTCGCAAGGGCCCCTGTAGCTCGGCTGTCCCTGTCTTTTGTCTGGAGCAGGCGGGAAACACTATCTGCGGAACATATTCGCAGTCGCCGGTCCACGTGGAAAAGTCTCGTCGCCCATTGACTCCAGAAATTGAGGATCATTCTCGTACGGGAACTGTGTGCAAGAGTCCTCCGATCCTACGTCCATGTCTTGTACTTCCGGGTGGCCCGAGGCCCCCGGTGGCGGCCGAGCTTGGCTTTTGGGAACATGTTTTGCCCCATCATCGTGAATATGCAATGTTCCTTCGTCTGGCGGCACTTGTGTCGGACTCGATTGCCCATCTTGTGCTTCACGGCGGCTCTCTCGTTCCGCTCCGGCTGAGCCAGACGGAGGGGCAGGAGGAGTAGGCACTCTGACCTTACTCCCAGAACCTTCCGCCGTTTTACGTCTTGACCATCGGGGTCCGTCCGCTATCATCGGAGTGCGCGCAAAATTTCTGTTCGCCTCCAAAATTTGTTCGACGATGGTATCAGCAAATTCATTCCACGCGGCGGAATATGTGTTTAACTGCTCCAGCTCT